TCATCAGTTTTGTTTGTTTTTTAATATACCATCACTTTTGTATTTATATTGTATCAGCTTCTTATAAATTATTGTCCTTTTTCCCCCCAAAGCAAAAAGTATGTAGTTTAGAGTTCTTTATATACTTAAGAGTGGTTTTCTGTCGCTGTGTGTGAACAAGACAGATTGCATGGAATTTTGTTTTAAACTCTAAAAATGTTGCTCTGTTGTCATCTCGTATTTAATACTACAGAAAAGAAGTCTGAGACCAGCTTAATTTTTGTTTCCTGATAATAATATGCAATTTTTTTCTCTCTCTTTCTATACACATGAAAATTTTTTTTCCTTTATCATTATAATTTGAAAAAAATTTTGATATTGTGTCTCTGAGTTGTTACATCTCATATAAGAAATATCCTTTCTGCATACATTGGTCATTTTTTAGTTAATAAAACTTTTATTTCCTGTTATCTCTTTATTTGTTACTTTTTTTTCAAATGTTCTGTTCTCTTGTTTAGGAACAATTAGCTATTTTCTAGTCTCTCCTTCAGAAATTCCAAATGTTCATATAATGGACTTCATCTTTCTCTCTTTTCATGCATTCAGTATTTCAGCTAGGACATTTTTTCAAGTCTATTCTCCACACATTAGATTTTCTACCGTAACATCAGTTCTGCTCTTTACTGCCTCAAATATGAACTTTTAATATGTTATTGTGATAGGCAGAAATGTCCCTCCTCAAAGATGTCCAAGTCCTAATTCTTAGAACTTGTGAATATGTTACCTTACATTGCAAAAGGAACTTTGCAGATGTGATTAAATGAAGAACCTCCTGGATTATCCAGCTGAGTCTTTAAATGTTGTTAAGTTTTCCTAGTTGTGGTCATAATGTATTTGACTACAAAAGAATAGTCAGAGAGATGCAATGTTGCTGGCTTTGAAGATGGAGGACGGGAGCCATAAACCAAAGAATGTGGGTAGCCTCCAGAAGCTGGAAAAGGCAAGGAAACAGTCTCTCCCAGAGCCCCCAGAAAGGAATGCATCCCTGCCAATACCTTGATTTCAGCCCAGTAAAACCTATATCAGACTTTGAAATATAGAAATTATACAGCATGAATATAAAACTAATACAGTTCTCACATTTTTCAGTTTTTTTGTCCTCTTTTTATCTTATTCTCTTCCTAGTGTCACTTAATTGTTGCTATTTTTATATGAAGTTCTCCTATCCATAGAGGCTATGCATTCTTGCATGTGTTAGATATCAAAAAATTCCTTCAAATATTCTTCCTTAGCTTAAAATTCTTCTCAGATTTTCACAGGTATGCCTATGATATTCTGCCAATTTCCTTTTCCCTGGTTTTGTGGGAATTTTTTGTTCCACTTTATTCATTTCAAATGCTGAATTTATCCAGAAAGTCCTGGCATTGAAAGAGCCTGTATAGATCATTTCTACATAGCCCAGTGTTTTCCAAGTGTGTGCATGTGTGGAGGGTGAGGGGGATGTTGAGGGAAGGAGAAGAGACAGAGAATAGACCTCTATGAACAGACAAAATGAAATCAGGAACTGGGATATTCTTTTTAAAATTATACCTAAAAAATATCTAATACACTCCTGCCCAGAAAGATTCAGTGCTATAAACTGCTATAAGTGAATCACTGTGAATAATGAGAATTTTCATAATACTCAAGCATATTCTTCAGAAAAAACTGGTAGAAAACAATAAATCTTCAACTCTTTCTATTCACAAATAAGGAACTTGATGCCTGGAGACATTATAAAACCCAACAAATGATATATCTATTGCTGGAGCCAAGTCTAAAACTTTCAGTCCAGTGCACTTTCTAGCTGGTGTAGGTTATAAACTGTAATCTACAATTAGGATTTTGTCACAGGTATCCATATAATTTCTTATTCTATATCTTGCAATATTTGAATATTTTAAAATTCAAAGTATGTAAAAAATGCTTTTTGTATTAAACTATCTTCCCTTCATCTTCCCCAAAATTTTAAGTTGTTCAATCTAATTGGTCTGCTGTTTTTGCACTTTGTCCTACATAATACTACTATAGAAGAACTAAGCTACTTTATTCCTGCTTCATTCTCCATGTTTAATGGCTTGAAAACCATGAAATTGAAAAGATCCTCTCATTTACAGAACTGTCTCCACCTTCTGATTCAACACAACAGAGTTTGTTAAACCACTGAGTACAGAGTATTTATCTTTCTATTGTTAACATTTCAAAACTAAAAAGTAAGCTAAGAAGTCATCTTTTCTTTTTGATGAAAATATATACCTACTCACTATATTGTTGCAAAGATACTTAACACTTGTACCATATAAGAAAGAATTAAATGTATATAATAGGGGTGAAAGAAATTTAGCTTATATGATTCTTATATGTTCAGTAAGGATATATTCAGTCTTAAGGATATTAAATATGATGAACTATGTACTGCTATTTTCCATTAATGTAATTTTAGTCATTCTGAGAGAATACCAAAAAATAACTACATTCTAAGCAGTGTTTTTATTAAGACCTTCACATTTAGAGTCAAATCTATTCATATCAAAAACATGGTAGATACTCAATAGATGAATGGATAAAGAAGATGTGGTGTGTATATATACAATGGAATATTACTCAGCCATAAAAAGAATGAAATCTTTCCATTTGTGACAACATGAATGGGCCTAGAGGGTATTATGCTTAGTGAAATAAGTCAGACAGAGAAAGACAAATACTGTAAATTACCACTTACATGTGGAGTCAAAAAAATAAAACAAACAAATGAATATAATGAAACAGAAACAGATTCACAGAGAACAAACTAGTGGTTACCAGTGGGGAGATTGGAAGAGGTAGGGGCATGATAGGGATAGAGGACTAAGTGGTATAAACTACTATGTATAAAATAAATATGCCACAAGGATATATTGTACAGCACAGGAAATATAGCTAATATTTTATAATAACATTAAGTGGAGTATAATCTATAAAAATTTTGAATCACTTTGTTGTAAACCTAAAACTAATACAATATTGTAAATCAACTACACTTCAATTAAAAAAAATAAAAAGAAAGAAAAAACATGGCACATATGAACAAAGACTAGGGTGAAATTTGGCCTAGTTTCATGTTTCTATATGGAGGAACTTCCACTGGAATAGTCGAGATGATTTTGGCATTGGAGTAGGGGAAGGAAAGCTTTCATTGAGCTGGTGGACCTCTACATTATACAATATTCAGCATCCTTAAATGTCAGGGTCCTAAAAGCCAGTAGCTTTTAAAGATATCATAATAATTTCATAACAACTCCACATATTTCAAATGGCCCAGAGGTACACTCCAGGATGAAAAACCAGAGCACTAGATTAACAGTCCTGGCCTCAGATCCCACTCTGTATTCACAGCTTCCCAACAGGGGAGTTACATGATCCGTAGCTGAAATCCTTTGGCCCATATTATTCCAATGGGTAGAGATAACCTGTTATAAACCTGTAAACACTAGGGGTTTATCTTCTTTCTCTTCCCTCTCTGCCCTGGATCATACAGACCAGCAATTCTGAGTAAGTGCATCTGTTCTTTAAACTGAAATTTTCTCTCACTGGACTAAAGTCTAGGTTCTGAGAAAGGGAGTGGAGCTAAAAAGGGGAAGGAAGTTCTAGTACTCATTTTTGGTCTCCCACTGAAAGCACTATGTCCAATCAGCTCTGTAGTAAGGAAGCAGATCTTGCCAACTCCACCTGTCTGTTTACAAATTCAAGAGAAGAGCTATTATTTATTGAGGCCCTAAAACTTTAATTCCATTAGAATTCTTGCTATAATCAGTTTGTCTTTATTCTAGTTTCTCCACTAGAAATGAAGTGAGTTGAGTAAACAAAGGAATAAATATTAAACAGTTCGAATAAAATTATAAGCGCTAAACAATCAGTGCTCCTAAATACTCTTATGTTTATTACAAAAGCTATATATTTTTCCTTTTCATTGTTTTCTCTGTCTAATGATAGTATCTACTACTGATGCCCACTTTTACCGATAAAGCTAGATAAAGGTACATTAACAAACAAAATATCTCTATTTCTAGCCTTCCATTTTAATACAGAAAAGAGGAAAAGAGCCAAAGTGGAATCAAACACAATATTTTTTAGACACGGGAAATTATAATGTTATAAAAGATCATTCATTTAAATTAAATAATTCTAGTAGCATACACTAAAAGTAATCAGCTTTTCTTTGTCCAAAATGGACTTTCATAGAAGAGAGAATTACAAAAATAAAATTTTACATTTTCCCAAAATATTTGACAATAATTTATCTTTTACTTGCTTAAATATAAGAATATTCTTTAAGAGGATGATCAAAGGGCATCTGGAATAAAATACAATTTACATGTTTTTGAAAGACAGCAACAGTTTATTGATCATTGGTAGCTCATGTTTGTTAAACACTAAAAACAGAAAAGAAAAGAAAAGAAAAAGGATTCACTGAAGACCATGAACTAAGGTAAGCTACAGTGAGATGCACTGTGTAAGAAAGGAAAGAGACCCAATTCTGCTCCCAGCCAAGTAGTTTTGGATATAAATTACTCAGTCTTTGGAGTGAGGTAAGGTGGGAGAGTAATTTCCTTAACCCTCAAGAAGTTGATCAAAAACAGGTGTTCTTTATCCAAGGTCCACTTATGCTTGTAATTGTGTTTTTTTTCTAAGGGGAGAGTCAATAGCTTCCCTTGGCTTCTTACAATGGTATATGACACCAAAAAGGTCACTCATCGTTGAATTAGAAAGTACTCTTTACCAATTCTTTCAGGCTATGAATATATTTGAAAAAAATCTAGTGATGTCAATGGAAAAAAATATATATCATGCAAGACATTTCAGGTACTAACAAGAACTAATACAGAATCAACAACAGAGATCATAGAGACAAAAAGATAGATTAAAAGTGTAATCAATAACAGTTTACATTCGTGTAGATCATTACTTTAATAACACTTTCACAACCAATTATTCCTCCTTACTTTTTAGAAATAAAGGGCACATAAGTATCTCCACTTTCCAGATGAGAAAACAGTTATGAGGGTTACTGCCCAAAGGCAAATATTTCCAAACTCTGCTACGTTCCTGACTTTTAGGCCAGTCTTCTTCCCAGTGGTAACAAGTAGTACAAGCTTCCTTCTTGGGGATTTATACAGTAAACCTAGCAGAAGGAAGTAAAAGCAGACTCTTAGCTCCTTTGTATTTTCTCTCTGGAATGTTTGTTCTGCTGTAATTTTTAAATATGGGACAGGGACGCAAAAGAGGGCTTTATAGGGTTAGTACCACCCTTCTCCATAATAAGGTCCGAAAGGGAGATCATATATAAGGGCATGTCCAATAATGAACTGCCTCAACTTCCTGAGAAGGTCATTGAGCTCAAACAGCAGCACCGATTAAAAAGAATTCCAGGTGGAAGAAATTAGATCTTCTATCTCCCTTTTCCTAGTCATCCACATGGACACCATGTGGGTTCAGGGATTCACCAAACACCAGGAAAAGACCCATCCCGCCCCACCATCCTGGCAATAAAGCCACCTCAGGCTGCCTGAAGCCCTTCTCTGCACATGTTTTGGTCTGCAGATACTTGTTCGTTTTAGAAGGGGAGGTGAGAAAAAATGTTGAGAAGAGTAACAAGAGAGAGGGAGGCCTGAGCGGGAATTATAGACGCAGAGATCAGGACAGTGAAATTAACAGACGCGAATTAACTGACAGCACACGGGAGCAAGCCCCTACCCTAGTGGAAGGCCTTGGGATGTGGGTGGGGCTACGGTTCTAGGGCCCAGCAGCCAGCGCCAGACACGCTGGCAGGGCGGGAACCCCGCGTTCCTTAGCAACCACGGCGGCCACGCCCACCCACCGCACTAATCCCGCGCCCGCCATCCCCACCCCCACCGCGATCTCCCTGCTCTCCGGGAAGGGTCCTTAAGTCATTACCGTACCTACTGGGTTTCCCGGGCTCTGAGTTCCTCCTCTTCCAGAGCCCCCCCTCCGCCCAGCCCGCCCAAGTGCCGCTCCCAGGGGCGGATCGAACGTCTCCTAAACGCATTGGGGGCCCACTAAGGAGGTGCGCCTGCTTTCAGTCCCCGACCCCGAGCTTCCCGGGCAGGGCCTCCCCAATCCCCTCGCCCTCGCGGGACACACACACCTTAGCTCAGCCAACGCAAGGGCCAACAAACTATGTGTCCGGCTGGAAATGTTGCTGTCCACGGTCCTGTCACTCAGAGGAGGGGGCGGGACGAGCCTGCTGCACACCCCTACTCCTAGAGGGCGGTACAGAAAAGAGGCGGGGCTCGACGGAAAGCGGCGGGAGTAGCCTAAACTTGCGCTCCGATTGGTCATTCTCTCTCCCGCCTCTGCGTGGGTCCTGGAAGGAAATGCGCGGAACCTGTGGCATTTCCTTTTGACGCGATTCCCAGGCTCTGATACCTGTCTCACAAAGTGACTGTGGAAATTGAAAATAAGTACTGCGACTTGTTTTTCAATATAAAGCACAGAAATACGTTCTTTTGATTATTGAACTTTTCTCACGTAACACACATACACACATCCCCATCCACACTCTGGGGGGGCATCCCTGGATGGAAGAATGAACTGTCTGAAAACGATGTTGTTTGCAGATTCAAGCTTTTAACAGATTAATCAGTTTAGGAAAGGTGATTCCTGAAATCTGACCAACAACTAAGATTTGGAGATATGTCCAGGTACCCAGTCTTCACACCTACAAAATTGGAATGAAATATTGTTATTAGTTATTATTTGCAAAGCATCTGACAATTGAATGATTTATATCTTATATAATCGTCAAAACACCCATTGTGAGATGTTATTATCCACAGCTTAAGAACGAAGAAACTGAGGCTGTGAGTGACGTTTATTCAGTCGTTCAACACATGAAAAAGTGCCTGCAGTCATTATTTTTATACTGTGATAAATTGAACTCAAATTTCTTTAAAAAAAATTATGTGACTTCCAATATAATTTTTCTCTTGCTGAAATATAAGTCACTTTTCTCTAGGACAGCCCATCAAATCTTTAAAAACAAACGAACAAACAAAAGAAAACCTTGAGAAAGGAAATAGCATGCAAAAGAACTGGACAAGTATAAACAGACTAACTGGAAGATTCTTTGAAATCTCCCAAGACATCAGGACCAGGAATTGAGTCTAAAAATGTACTTTTATTTTCTGTCCTTCTAAATCCTTTGTTGGTCTCCAGTTCCTCTTCCAGAAATAAAGGTAGAGTTAAATGAGACTAATATGAGTCTAAAAATGTAGTTTTATTTTCTGTCCTTCTAAATCCTTTGTTGGTCTCCAGTTCCTCTTCCAGAAATAAAGGTAGAGTTAAATGAGACTAATACTCTTGACCAGATTTGCATGTGTGCAGCTTTAAAATAATAAAATCCTTTTTTGTTCTATATTATACCAGTACCCAGAAGTGTTTGTCTTGTCAGATAAGGTAGTAAGAAAGAAAATAAAAACAAACAAACAAAAACAATGCCTCTGGATAAGTGCTTTGAGATTCAATCAAAATGGCCACTATACTATGATAAAATTGTTAGAATAAAAGAAACACATTCCAATTGCAAATGCTTTTATTCTCGTCCTGCTGAATTTCCAAATTCTTCTGAAAGTTTGCTAGCTATGAATACCTCCGTACAAAAAATTTCTTCATTTGTATGACTCATGATCCCGATTGTTACTTCAATCTTTTAAAAATATTTGGTTTTACACTAAAAAGTGCTCTGATTGTATATTAATAAGTACCTTATACAAATAAATACTGTAAGAGTTAAATAAAAATGGTGAATTATTTATTTGAATCCTTTTTCAATTGCATATTCAAATAAGTACAGCAAATGTGTTTGAATATTCTCACATATATAAGAAATTATACATTTAAATAAATGTATTGTATGTATGTAAATGTGTAATCATTGAAATAAACACAGCTGTATACTCCCCATATGTATAACTCCAGATGTTTGAAGCATATATTCAAATTTTTGGAACTCTACACCTTGGTATCTATTTAAACATCTCGTAGAAAATAGTGTGTTACACATACACAGGAATAAATTTTCAAACTGTATCCACAGTGAGGAAATAAGGTTAGAACAGTGGGTAATGAGTCTCTGCCAATGAATTTCTTATCTTGAACATATCCTTATGAGATAGCTTTTCCTTGCAAATTGTCTGCAAGTAGTTTACTGATCTATAAGGTGGGCACTAGCAAACTTACCTTCCATGAATATGGCCATTGCAAAGTAGTTTTGCAAGCATCTTTTAAAATAATTAAACTCCAAAAAATCATGTTTCAAATTAACTTTTAATACTTTACACTTTTGAGAGTCTCATGTTATCCAGGCCTCAATTATTTATTTTTCAACTCATGCTTGTTCTCCAATACTTGGAACATGTATAATTTAAAATTCCCTCCTAGGCACAAATATATATTAGAAGAAATTATGAGGAATACACTAACCAAATATCAAATAAAATATATCTAGGGACATTGAACAAGAAATAAATGTCTTTACATAAAATTAAACATCCAGATACATGTTATGAATATGCCTATTTCTTTATTATATAGTGACAGATATGTCATTTAGTTAAATTTGTGGTAAGTTGAATTGTAAACTAGAATCTAATAATTATATGTGCCATCATCTTTCGTCTAGATAAATGTGCATATAGATTGAAATTTGGGAGAATCATTTTGGATCAATTTGCAGAAATTATAATCCTGTCAAAATGTATGAAATTCATTGAATATATTAAAATAAGAAATAGCATATCAAATTACTTAATCTTGTTAAGCAGTCTTTTGCCTTAGATTTTAAAAGTTGAATTATCCAAATTTGCTTTCTCAGTAGCTGGAATTGGCTACTTACTAGGTCAAACACACATATTATTATTTCTGTGGGATTGTCCTAGAACAACGTCAGGGAGGTGTTTAGGGTGAATTTTGTTTAAAAATTTAAACGAACGATTTTTCATGTAAGTTCATTTAAAAACTCTGTGATCCTCTAAGTCCGTACTTGAAAGTCTTGGTTTTAATCTATTTTTAGATTAAATCACTTGACAAATCACTTGATTAAATCACTATATTTAAATCACTTGACAAAACCTGGAAAATGGGTATGTTTTCTTAAAGAAAGCCTTCCTTTTCAAAACTCAGAAAATTAATAAACTTTAAAAAAACATTTTTATTGATTTCTATATTTGAAATTACAGTTATATAGCACATATATAGAATGAACTCCATGAAGAGAACTGACATGTTATTAAACACATATTTCAGTGTTTGTTTGCTTTTTGAATAATTGAATGCAATATTGTCTCTGAAATCTAGAAGAAAATTATCTCAAAAAATTCTTCAGATGATTAATAGTGAGAACATATATAGAGAATTATTTTATGTACACAGAAGAAATATGGACCATATATTACAAATATTTTGAGGATATAATTTCAAATGTAGAGTTGCCAGCTATTTCTTTAATCATCAAATGTCATACATAAAAAGCATGACTTGTAGTGAGCTGAAAATGTTCACATTTACTTCTTTTTTTCTGCTTATTGAGCATTTAACCCAAAATGTCAATGACATATTTCACAAACATTTCTCAAATCAGGATGCAGCTCATAAATAATTCCCTGATAGCATTTTCTCCTTCTTAGTGGTACACATAATATTGATAATATGCTCCCCTTGTGTATTACTTGTATTACTTGTGTATTCTCCAACTCAAATTCAAGTGTCCCCTAACCATGCTTTACTGGTTCCTTTGTTAATAGTCATTCATCACTTTTTAGTATAATTTATACATAATTTACTTATATATTATGTAAATTGTTTATTATCTTTCTTCACCTCAGAATGTAAGTTGCTTGAGAGTAGAGATCTATTCTGTCGGTTTTATTAATTGACGTATCCCAGGTGCCTAACACCTAATAGGTACACAAGAAAAGTTTTAATTAAATTGCTGTAATCGATTTGTTTTAATTCCTTACACTATTCTAACTCATGAATATGCCACAATTCCTATATCTATTGTCCTGTGATAGTGCTTTAGGGCTGTTTTTAGGTTTGTTCTATAACAGGGTGCTTATAAATATTTTTATATGATTTTCCTGGTGAAGATTCGCAAGAATTTCTCTTTGGCTTATAACCTGGAGTAAAATCACAGATTTCTAGAGCATGTGCACATTCTAAATGAAAATATAATACCAAAGTGTTTTTTCAAGGTGCTGTACTATTTTCCTCTCCTAACAGAAGTGTTTCTGAGATTCAAATGTATTTCTTTTCAGAAAGCCAAATTTTGTCTTTGTTAATTTTCTCTAATGTCTGTTTAATATTTCATTGATTTCTGCTCTTTGTTATTTCTTTTTTTCTATTTAATTTTCTTATTTGTCTATGTCTTTAAGGTGGAAACTAAAAAAAATTGATTTAAACTTTTATTCTTTAATAATATAAGCATTTAAATCTAGAAAATTACCTCTAAGAACCGCTTTATTAATATCCCATAAATTTTAGTATGTTGTGTTTTAACTAGAAGTCATTTGAAATTATTTTTAAATTTCCCTTTCTGTGAGTTTTTCTTTTATCACTGTTATTTGTTTAGAATTCTGTTGTTTAGTTTTCAAGTATTTGGGTGTCTTATAAATATCTTATTGTTACTGACTTTTAATTTCATTACAATTTGTTAGACAACATACTCTATAAGATTTCAAACTTTTGAAAATTATTGAGACTCATTTTATAGCCCAGCATATGGTTTATCTCAATGATTGCTCTCAGTGTACTAGAAAAGAATGTGTATTCTGCAACTGTTAAATGTAGTGTTCTACAACTCTAGGATTAATAGTATGCATACTTAAATAATTGCTAAGATTCATCAATATTATATCCATTAATATTACATATTTAGGAGGGATCCCCCTATGCTGTTCTTTCATACTACCCTCAGTTTTCTCCCCAACTCCAGTATTCCAGAGCTGGAGTTCACGGTTTCACATTTCACACACAGTACTTCACACCTCCTGTTCATATATGATACTTCACAAATGTATAAACCTTGTAAGAGTGTAATTCTATTTTTCACACTCCCACCCTATCTTTTGTATTATTGTTGTCGTGTATGTTTCTTTTAAATGCATTGTAAAACCTCAACTTAAAATTTTTACTCTAATATTTACCATTTCTGGTGTTTCGTTCTTTCCTACATCTCCAATG